ACAGATACATAGATCAGTGGAACAGTATAGAGAGCCCAGAAATAAATCCAAACATATGTAATCAATTAATTTTTGACAAGGCACCAAGAAGACACGATGGGAAAACAATAATCTTTTCAATAAACAGTGGTAGGGAAATTTGATTTCCACATGTAAAAGAATAAAATTAGACCCTTATCTTAGACCATACACAAAAATTAACTCAAAATAGATAAAACACCTAAGGTTAAGAAACCATAAAACTCCTAGAAGAAAACACAGCGGAAAGGCTCTTTGACATTGGCCTTGGCAATGATCTCTTGGATATCATACCAAAAGCTCAGGCTACAAAAGCGAAAATAAATAAATGGGACTACATCAAACTAAAAAGCTGCTAAACAGTAAAGGAGACAATCAACAAAATGAAAAAGGAATCTACAGATTGGGGGAAAATATTTCCAAACCATATATTTGATAGGAGGTTAATATTCAAAATTTATAAAGAATTCATACAACTTGATAGCAAGAAAACATATAATTCAACTTAAAAATGGGCAAAGGTCCTTAATATTTGGGAATTAAGCAGGGAAATGATGTGGGAGAAAGACAGACATTAACAATGAAAAATGCAGGCCCCCCCATTGTTACAGAAATCAGGCCTGAGGTCTGGCAACCCCAGCAGTACTTTCCACTATGCTAAGATTTGAGAGGCTGGAGTTTTGTACTTCTTCTCACTGAGATTCAGTGATATTATCAGATCATTACAACCCTCATATTTCATTGTAATTATTTACCTCATATTAGAAACATTCAAAGGGTGATTGAGGGCTGAGAACCCAACAGAGAGATCCTTTTATTTAAGATCGAATACCGTGCTTTTTTCTTTTCAAGTCTTCATATGGTATTTGTGTTCTGTTTCTAGATAAGAAAGCAGGACTGAAACTAGAGAACAACTAAGAGGGTAAAAAAATGGTGGAGAAACGATATTCGGCCTCACTAGTAACCCACATAATGTAAACAAAAATAATAATAATGAAAAATTGTAATTGTCTCTCAGTTAAGGAAAAATTAAGAAGATTGGCTAAGCCCACTATTAGGAAGGGTGTGGGGAAATGGAAATTCTCATACACTGGGTGTGAAGACAAATTCGGGCAGTTATTCGAGCTTACAGTTTGGCTCTAAGAGTGAAATTTTCAAATGCTCAGAAATCTAGGAATGCAACCTAAGGAAAAACAAATCACATTTATGAAGCTACATATATATTTGTAATAGTGAAAAATACAATATAGACACTGACATGAAAATATATTCCCAAAAAGTATATGTGGTGTGAAACAAAACACACATATATACTCACACATATATATAAATGTGCAAAGAAAAACATCTATAAAAGTATCATCTGTAGGGGACTTGGAATTGTGGGAGTTTTATTGTGTATTACACACTTTCTGTATATCTTACATTTTATAAAAGATGTACCCATCACTTTAGTAATGATTAAAATTAATTTTATTTTAAAGA